ATATAGTATAATTTAGCAATTTTATTTATATCATATTAAATCACAAGAGTTATAAAAGTAATTTGTTAAAAAATGAATTTTTTATCATTTATAATGCCACCGAAATGTGCAATAATAATTTATGCTCTTCCCGAAATATTAATGAAATATTAAACAGGTAACTGAATATTTAATTCTTGCTTAAACACATAGTATAAAATAGAGAGTATATATTTGTCTACAAATATATGTATGTACTGGGGAGTAGTATATAAACTAGTCATTCGGAAACGCGAGTTCGAATTAACGCAACAAATGTCATAAACACAATATTCGATTGAATACGGACGTGTAGGGCAGAATCACTCGCTGCTATAATGAAGTAAGGCTGTATTAACACCTCGCAATTAGTTTAATTCAAATATATACAGGGTGTCCGGTAACTAACGGACCAATGATTAAGGGCGGATTCTCTAAGAGCCAATTTGAAGACGATTTTTCCTTAGCAAAAATGTTGAGAAGTCAATAATTTTCGAGTTACAAGCGATTGAAAAAAATGGGTTTTTTTTGAAAACTAAACGTTTTGGAGTTAAAAGTCTAACACAATTACATTCTTCAGTTAATTTCAGGTAGAGTTTACTATAATACAATTTTAATTCGAGGCTTAGTTATAAAGATACATAATGACAAATATTGGAAAGTTGTAAAAAATGATGACCTTTTTCGTTGAGAAAAAATCGTTCCCAAATTGACCAAAGAATCCATTTGTGATCGTTGGTCCGTTAGTTACCGGACACCCTGTTTATTATAATATACGTGTATTACCTGTTTCCTGAAATTCTTCTATCGTACGAATTTAACAATGCACATTAAGGAATAACGCGCTAACATAATCATCATGAATGTTTCATCGTAGATGGTAAGCAATGTTCCAAATGTAATAAATTATCATCAAATCTGTTTCGTTAACCACACAATTTTGCACCACTTGATTTTCGCGAGTCTCTCTCCCTCATTGTTACGACCTTGTTTTATTGTTATTCTCAAAATCATATTTTGTTATCGTCGCGGCTTCTCTTTATCACGTCTGTCAATCCCGTAATTAGAGCAAGACTATAAAGAACAGGGGCTCGGTACTTTTCTTTTTTTTTTCTCGCTTTTATCAAGTGGCTGACCCGCCGACCCCGATCGCGAGGGCGGACAAAAGAGACCGAGGGATGATTTTTTTTATGTCCCGCTCGTTTTTCACGCCCGCTCCGTAATATCGCCCGTCAACTTTACCAAACTCGCCCCGACTGCGATATCTCTCTGCCCTCCCGGTGCCACGTCGTTCCTCCTTTTTTGTTCTCGTCTCTCCCCGCCATCTAAAACCCCGCACACCATACGCTTTTTTTTTTATCGCGTGTGCTAGCAATTTATTTGGGCGATCGTTCTTCCGAGAGTTGGCCATAAAAGTCGTTACACCGGGCAATCGTGTCCATCGAACACGTTTTGTTCGTTCGATCGCACGCGTGACGAGACTACTGGATAATGTCCGGCAAAGAAAAATGACGACAACTAAGAGAAATCGTTCCCCCTTTTTTTCTCTTTCCGACCCTTGGCCTCGCGTTCTTTTTGCGCCTAAAGAGCACCAACGATGGCATTTTTCATAAATGCCAATGATTTTCCTGAGCGAGCTCCGTTTTATTACGAGAAGAGGCGATATCATTGAACATATTATCTCGTCGTGGATTTTATCAAACCTGGAGAAAGTCTGTCTTGTTTGCTCATTATAAATATTTATGCGGATATTATTCGGCACCTCAAAAATAGTATTGAAATAATATTAACGCACAAGAAAGTATAATAGTCGCAAATAATGTCATAATTTTCATGACAAAATTGACACGATATATCTACCAAAATTTATATATATATAAATTTTGGTCATGAAAATTATGACATTATTTTTGTATATATATATACACAAAACAAATACTTTTCTCCCCAGCTCACTAGTAAACTCTTATGAAGACTTTTTATATGACGGGATCCGCTGTGTTCGCGAAAAATAGACTTAGGTTTGAAGTAAGAAAATAAATGCTTCCAGCAAAGGGGTTGGCAGGAGAACCAAAGCGTCGGCTTTTGTGCGCGCGCGTTCTCGATGTTGTCCCATGAAAATACTTCCACTTTTGCCGGCGGCTTTTCTTCCGCCGGAACAATGGGGCACGACATTCGTATAAACCACGAAAACAAAGGACGACGGTTTCTTTCTTACTCACGCTCCGTCTGTTTTCTCGTTACATTGTTCCGAGAGAATTCGCTTAACTTTCGACGCGGACCGCTTGCTCCAAGAGACGATATAGCCACGTGCGCAGTCGCAGTTTCATTACTGCTGTGCAATGCAACAGTTTTACGTTCGAAAATATAACAGCTTTTTCTTTCTTCTGGCATGACACCATAAATAAAATGGTAAGCCGCGAACAGCAGCATGGTGGCGACAAAGTGATGAAAACGTATGTAAGATTCCGGCCGCGATCGCGTTATCGGCCGCTCGATAAAATAAATCTCTTAATCTAATTGTCAAACAGTTCAGATAATGTGATTAAATTTATTTTCCGAGAAAAAAATACGGAATATCCTTCGTACGTGAATCGTTTCTTCGAAATGTAATTGTAAAATCAAATAAAAATGAAATAAAAAATGATGAAAAATAAAATTTTAAATAATGAAAGATCTACATGATTCAATTAAAATTAGAGAATAAAGTTGCGTGTACAATATTGATCCGAGACAATTTTCCAAGAGATTTTAATTAATTTTCTCATAACTTAGAGTATTTTGAAAATTTCCGACAGAAAATTGTTACATTAATGTTAAATTTTTTAAATTTCTTTATGGTATGTAATTTTATTTTTTTACATAAATTATTATTTATATTGATTTCCAAGTTTTTACGCGCGACCAAAAGTAAATTAATCATTGTTAAATATTGTTACTTAGTAGTAACAACTTCCTATTATTATTATTATTATTTTTACATTACCCGTCATATCTTCGATTATCATTTTCATATCTTTATTTTAATTTCTGGCGTGAATAAAATAATGTTTATATCGTTTTATACAATCTTCTAGGGGCGCTCTCTCTTTTCTTTTATATAACATTGGAATATAAGATATAGAGTTACCTATTTGTCGAGAAGTACTATTATATAGTATTAAAAAGACAAAACTTTCCCAATTTGAAAAGCATGATGACCATTTCTCCAGGATACTTAGGTAATTGAGGCGTTTCACGTTTTAATTTACGTCGAGAGATATCCTGTTTCTCATTTCACAGCAATTACCAGCAGTTTCAGTAACTCGATGTTTTGCACATGCAAACGAGATTCGGGGTGAACCGTCGCGACGAAAGAAAAATTCTTCTCTCACGCGCTTCGTCCTCGTTTACGTTACCTTTCTTTTGATGTTCTCGTTACACGCGTGTCACACGCGCTAATTATCGGCGAGGAAATCAACGTCCTTTCGCTCGTTATCCAGACGTCAAGACGAACAAGAATTCCTCTCCGATACTCCGTTATTTTCGCACTATCATCGCACCATCGATAATTTGTCGACTCGATTCTCGAGTCTCGAGATACGAAGAAAATATACCCTCCTTATCGTCGAAAACAACCGCGTTTTGACAAACCTCAGAAGGAATTTTCCACACATGCAGATTCACACGCGAGTAAGATATTTTCTTGCGTTTTTTTGCATTTAATCGCTTAACGTTTCATTATTACGCGAAATCTAATCACTGCTTCAAGATTATCCCGTCGGTTATTTTTCACATCGATTTCAATTAAAGAGAAGCGTGAGTTCTTGGAAGTAACGCAAATTAACGCAAAAAAGAAATATTCGCGCAATGAGATCGAGTTTACATATCCGCTCTCATTAACACGTATCAGCACAAAATTCACACACAATTTTCTTCACTAATTATACGAAGTACTGCACGAAGGAGCCTCGCGCACAATAATCGTCGTTCGAAACGGGAGATCGAACGCTTCATCAAAGCTGAGAGATCTTCCCTACGGATTCTCTACTCGCTCGAACATTCCTGCTATCCGATATACGCTGTAAAGCTCATCCCGTCGAATTACTGCTCCGGTCGCCCTTCAAAAATCCTCGTCCAACATGACGACGCGATCGAAATCGTATACAAAGAATGCACACTAAAGGAGAAAAAAAAAAAAACCTTCGGCAAAACACGATGCCTAAATAACGCACGAGAGTGACGAAACGACACGGCAGCCTATCTCTTAATTTTATATATATATATATATATATATATATCGAAAAATGGATTTTTTTCGTGCGCGGAATCACCGCGTCGGCGAAACAAGTAGAAGACTCCGACTCTTCGCGGACGAAGGACGCGCAAGTAGAAAAAGTCAACGCCGATGTCCGGCCGTCGTTGTGGCGCGCGGCGAGCCACTGACTGCCTCTGCCAATTCCTCGCCTCTCCCTGTCCACCCCCACCCCCTACGTACGCCACCACCTATATTCCATCCCCACTACCCTCTCAACGCACCCTTTCCTGAACGACCGCCGGCGCAAACGCCACGATCCTCCTCATTCCTCTTTGCGCGGAGGCTACCGTTTCGGTTGTACTCCCAACTCGCCCGAGATGCAGTTTCGCTCCTCCTTTCGCCGAGGGCCCAGCCTATGGGTCCTTTTTCCACCTCTGATGGCTTTACCGCTCGTCTCGACCCTGTCTTATAATTTAGACCTTAATCTCGAAAGAGAGCCTTCTCCCTCTCGAGATTACGCGTGTTTTATTAATTGGTTATCAAGAAGCAGACTAATCAGTTAATTAGTAATTATCCGGTAAAAGAGAGAGCGTAAAGAGATCTACAGAGTTTGTATTCGTAGAGGGTAATTGGAGTGTATAATGCTATGAGAAAACTTACATCGATAATATAATATCATTAATCGAATTTGCCAATTATGATATTGAATAGATATTGGATTTCATATATGTATCACATGTATGCATAACATGATAATGGGAACTCTTATTAAACCGGTAATTCGACTACAAACAATCAGGTTCGAACATATTGCATAATTAAGTACTAATCGGTACTAATTTATTTCTCTATTGCGCGAATTTATTGCTCTTACGTATTAACAGAAAATGATCTTTAAGCAATTAGTTAAACAAATAGTATATTTATTTTTTTTATTTACAAGTCGCTATAAATATTTTTCGAATGTGAGGATGCTAGCGTAATTGCAAATCATTTTTAATATCATTTTCCTGCTAATGAATACATTGTTAGAGCAATAAATTAATTTCAATTATAAAATATATCTAAATCTAATTTTTCATGGTGATGATATACCATCGGGTTAATAAAGATGATGTAGAATGTGACTATATATGTATAGATAAACGTAACTTTTTTTTTACATTTATCATAATTAAAACATTCCATATTTATTGTGATTTGTACATTTTTCATTCTACAATTGTCGTTCTTCAAAAAAATCTAATCACGGAATTACATTGCTCTTGACTCACTGTCAAGCCCATTGTTGAATTTAATAAGACATTAAAACATACTTGAATTTAATAAAACATTAAAACATACTTTTATATACCTATAACGTAATATGTAGCATTAAACATAAAACGAAATACATGTAACGGAAGACGTTATGTCTTAAAATTAAATTCTTGATAAATTCATGTAAACTTACTTATAGTGCACATCTGTTTTTTTTTTGTTTAATTAATTTTTAAACTTAACAGTATTCTTAGATTTTATATAGCTATTCTTATAGAATTTGCAGAATAGAAACAGATTTATTATCATATTTCCGATGAATGCAAGTCCGAAAACACCTGGTACTGGACAACTCGGAAATAATGATTGAGATGCATAAATTATCAATATGATGAATTGCACCTGTTTGAATAGAAATCGAATATATCAGAAAATAATTCATTACACACCCAAACATTTTTTTGTACGTTCATCTTAATTGTATTTTTACTTAAAGTTGTGTATGTGTATATATATTTATAGATTTACATAAAAAAAAAAAAAAAAAAACATGTTTGACATCTCAATAACAAATCAATAAATACTCTACGCTACGTCAACTTGCCATTTGCAGAATAGTTAAGGATGGCTTGATCGGGTTAATGACTTTCTGTACAGGCGGTCCAAATGTAGCGAGCAAGTAGTAAATGTACATTAGGACGTGTACAAAGCAATTTAGCAAGGTGATGAAAGTCGACATTTCACCAGGAATGTACTTTGTATAAATCCAGATAAATATACAGTTGGACATATGATGATATACATGCAGAAACGAGATCTGATTGTGTTTCTTTCTAACTACAAAAATGACTGTTTCAATCAAGTCAACTAGCTTCAAGAGCAATATCCACCACATAATCGTAGCCAACTATAAGAATTCGTATAATTTATTGAATGTTTGTGATTTATTTGTAGCATATATATATATATATATATATGTGTGTATATATAATTTACAAGTAGATGTGTGGAAGATTCACACGCAAGTAATCGTTCTCCATTATCCAATAATGGATTATTTTACTTTCAGCAATAGATTTAAAAGAATATTTCGTTAGCTTGACTGAAAACAATATTTTTCTATCTTTATCTTTATATTAAAAACAAGTGACAAAGACACTTTTTAAAAATGGATGATGCGTAATTAATAATAAAAACTATGAATAAACTGATAAAATGTTTGTCTAAATATACTTTTAGTTGTTCAATTTTTGAATTAGAGTTACATATAATTAACAACGTACTTTGTAAGAACCAGGCTTGTATGAATAATCTGGCACGCAAGTTAAGGATATTTCTGTAAACCAACCCGCGGCAATATGCTCGTACACTAACCATGCGTTCGCAATTATTTGAAAAACGTTGTAAAATTTCATGAAGGTTTTTAACGAATATGGTGGTCGATTTTTCATGTACTGAGGCCCCCATCGTAAGACAAAATACATATAAGCAATTAGTAGAAACGGTATTTGATACGTAGAATTTATTAATAGCCAATTGTTCGTTCTTTGATCTGAAAGCTCAAATGTAGATTTACAATATGCAATTTTATTAATTGACAATTATGTTAGACAAAACTATTCGATTAAGGTGTTTTTTATTTTCTTTATTCTAAATTCACTCTAAGCAATTTTGATATCGTAAAAATGTCTAGCAATTATTATAAAAATATTTTTCTGTAATATGGGTATATTATTATAACTATATTATAATTAACAGCATACCTCATAGTTGTTAATAATTGGAATAATTGGACAAAAGGAAGAAAAATAACTGCTATTCTAATAGGTCTGTTCGTTTTGACTACACTGGCTACACTGTCTTTCTTGGTCAACATTCGAAGGAAAAAGATAATCTCTGAACTAGTGTAGCTAGTGTAGCCAAAACGAACAAATCTATAGATTACACACACCAATACTCACCGGCCATTTCTGTCCAGTAATAATGAAATACTTTTAAGAAAGTCATGACGTACAGATTTATTATAACGTTACAATGCACTCAGTAATCGATTATCATTGAAGTCTTCAAATTATTTTAAACCAATCGAATCTTTAACAACAGCAACATATCCTTTGTGAATACACTCACTCTTTATATACCTTTTAATGTACACCAAATTTATACTTTGTATTACTATGTTCGGCATTTTATATACAGTAAGGTGATAAATTAAATATACTAGGTGTCTAAAATGTTTATATCTATTCTTTTTTCTTATATTAATCGATAACTGCAATTTATTATTAATAATAGCATTTTTATTTTATTCGCAAAAACTATACCTTGGACTCAATGCAATCGTAATTGTACGCATACATAATAAGACTTAATATATTAAGACATTAATAATAAAATTGTATTATTATTCGTTAACTATAAAAAACTATTAATTCTTATTTAAACTTGAAATATTGGCAAACCAATTCTGTATCAATTATTTTAAAAAATAATAACTATTTCGTATAAAAAAAATATAGTTTTAAATTTTTGTTTAAAATATCTTATTAAATTCATTGATAAAATATCTATTGCACTTTACTTAAAAATTGCTATAGTACACTGTATACAGGGTGCCCCTAAAGTCCGTTACCACCCCTAATATTTCGGAAATAAATTAAAATTTCGAAAAATCGCAAAACACGTGTTCGATCATTTCTATCAGATCTACTCTTTTACGGGGGTCCAAGGGGGGTGACCACCCTTGAAAATCAATTTTTCGAAATTTTGATTTATTTCCGAAATATTAGGGGTGGTAACGGACTTTAGGGACACCCTGTATATCTAAGAATTCGACATTACGAAATATGCAAAGGAAAATATTCGATCAAGTTGAATAGTCAATCTTTATTCAACTTTTGACATTTAACTTTATTCAAATATATGGCAATTACCATGCTCTTTTCCAAAGAATTATGAATATTTATATTTGAGAACAATATACTTTATATATTAAAGCCTAACAAAATTAACAACTTTCATTTTAATACTTCTTTTATTATATACATACATATATATATATATATATATATATATATATATATTCTAATATATAATTCTCTTTTTCTATAACTATTTTTGCAAAAATCGAAAAATTAATATAAAAAAAAAAAATTCAATTTCAGAACAAAGCAAAATAATCAGAAAACTTGTATAGTTCAGAACATAAGTAATTTAACAAATTACAATCGTAATGAAAATTATCTAATCGAATTAATTGAATTCTCAGTTTAATCCGAAATTATTAATAATCCAATATAAAATTTTCAAACTGTTAACAATTTTATTGTCAATTTGCATTTTAGTTTGCATGACGATTACGAAGCACTTCACAAATGCGACGCTTTTTATGCACACAAAAACAATCGTCTTCATTAGATCTATTAGTTTTAAAATCTTACGTAGGTATGCTATAAAATTTTATAAAACTCAATTAATAATTATTATGAACTAATTGTATATTATGTAACTAATTGTATATGTATTTTGTCAATAGTTAGAGTTGATCTCATTTTTCATTACGCAAAATAATTCGTACGTTAGAATGGCTAATTATTTCTTGCAATTATAATTCTTATATTTTATTAAGTTTAAAAGAATAATATATATATATGTGTATAGAACGAGGAAGGAAGAAAAAAGCGGAATAACATGAAAATGAATCAATTAGTCATGTTGTACTCGCGCTATCTACGTTTGTTGATAAAATTTTCAAAATCATTATGCAGTCTTGTTTTAAAAATCTTTAAAGAAAACTTTAGAGAAAAATCTTTAGAAAAAAGTAATTCTCCATTAAATCATAGATAAATCCGAGATGAATACATACAGAATATTATACATATAGCAAATAAGCGAATACCGATCATCATTGATATTTGATATGAAAAATATAATAAGATAAAAGAATAATTTCTCTGGCCCTACATTTAAAATTTGAAATATATAAATAATATACTTATTATGCATAATAAAATACAAATAAATGCGATTTGGTATATATATAATTAATTCGGAAATTATAAAAATTTCTTTCGATATAACACAATTCTACTAGCGAGTATATTAGCAAAGATTACATTACATTTTGCAAAAAAAATTCTGTAAATATGGAGATTGCAAATATCGAATCATGAATATACAAATTACACGGATAAAGAACTTTTTCTGTACGCGTGATTCTGTTATAATATGAAAAAAAGGAAAATTATAATTTATGTATTTCTTTCTGTAGATTTATCACAAATTGCATACTAATATTGATAACAATAATTAACTTTGATATCATGAGATTATCGCGGATGTTGTTATTACTCACCGCGAATAACCATTTGTGGTCGACAATAATGATATGATTCCGCAGAAATCCATTGTGTGCAAATGCACTCGCGCTAATGTGGTTATCGATAATCAATCAAAGTGCACTTGTCAATCGATAGCTGATCACTACTATAACTACTATCTATCATGATCCATCTATATCATTGTTATTATTATCACTCACTATCATTCCTCGACGTAATCGTAATGAAAGAGAAAGCTGATTCGATGAATGTAAGAACCGATCTAGTATTTTCGCACGTGTAAGTTGCATATATATGTATAATGTATAAAAAATCTCGATGAATTAAACAAATAAATAATGTATTATTCATCGGCTTTATACAGATGATTAAATAAATAGGTATATCGATATAGGAATTTATATCCTTTTTGACGTGATAATTGTATAAAATAAGCGATTTAGTAAAAATATATATGCATACTGTAACATTTCGAATAATGTTATATCTTAATAATCTTATTATTTATTGTATTCTTATTATATCTATTATGCATCTATTTATATTATTATATCTATTATGTATCTATTTATATTATGTATCCATTTTATCTTATTATATGTGTTGATTAGACTTATTTCTTTTATTAATTTATTTAATGAAATTAATTATAATATACAATAATTCTTCTTTTCTCTTTGTTTTTTTTTTTTTTCAAAATATTCTCCTGATGTATTATTCCAATATATTTTCTTAAAATGAAGAGCATTATTCACGGATTTGTTTAATTTAATTGTATTCGGAAATACGTATTGGATGGTAATGCGTCTGACAATAATGTAATCCGCGCGGGTCGTGAACTCAAATAGCCATTGTGTTATACGTTCGTTTTTTACTGCATTATTTTGTACGGGACCGACCGATCCCGCGGGAACAGTTGCATTTCTGTCGATGTATGCGTATTGTATGCATTTACTTTGAGATTCCATGCCATTTTTGTTTAGTTGCCAAATAAATACGCAAAATAATCCTAAATCCCGAGTAGTTTCGTTAATGCTAAAGTTTGCAGTGCATTCCTTCCCAGTTGAATTTTCACGGTTTTAACGCGGATGTGGTCTCGTCGAGCTTTGATGATATTAGTACATCGCAATAAGTAATTTTAGTAACAATAAATAGTAAATCTAGTGTACACTCTCCCTCTCTTACTCGCTCGCTCTTTCTTCCTCAAATCCGATGACGTTTACTCGATGCGGGCTTTGTAATAATCTGCTTGACGGGAACTCGGGCTTTATATCCCGTATATGTGCGTTTTACGTTGTCCCCTATCAACGATGTGCATTTCACTATTTTATGTGCATATAAGTGGAAGACAGCAACATATTGAATCCATCGTTATTTTGTATTACATTCCAACGTCTATATAATTCATGACTTGCTACTTCTTTTTTCCTGTTGTTCTATCGCTATTTTTCTTGAATGAGATACAACGATAAAACGAAATATTCAAGTGATTTTGCATACATATGGATTGTTGTTAGCGCTAAATTAATACAATAGTTTTCAAGTTGAAACTTAAATTATTTAATTATACGGAATTTCCGGTAGCATTCACGTTATTCATATAGAAAAGAGAGAGAGAGGAAGCTAAGAATTAGATTCCTTTTTCATTCATTGCTTTTTAATAACATTGTCATGATAAAAAAATATTTCTTATATCAAAGACTTATTAAAACTGTTCCGAGATAATATTGGAAAATTTTTGCTGATAATTAAATAAAACTTGTCTTATTCCCGAAAGTAAAAAGTTATTTTTATCACAAAAAACCAAGAAATATCAAAGATTTATATTGGAAAAAAACTATTTCAAAGAATCAGTCATTTTTATAGATGGAATTTTTGATAAAAAAGAAAATGTCAAAGTTTAAAAATATCTCCTTTTTAACATTAATGGATTTACATATGTTTATTATTTATTTTATATTGCATATTTATTATACATATATTACATGTATAATATATTTTTCGTTATTTATTCGTATATCCTTTATTTTTCAATGATTGCATTGAATTTAAATGAGTAAAAAAGTAACTCTCCAGAAGTTTGTTTCCTCTATACATACTTTCAAGATAAGTACCGAGACGAAAGCGAAAACTTTTTGCCACTAAGGAGCTATCCAGACTACGACTGGAAAGTACTAAAGTCTGCAATGTTGTAGAAGGATATATTAAGCATAGCTAATCGAGCTTTTCCATAATCGATTGCAAGAGAGGAAGTCTCACTAAAGCAAAATGTCTTAAACCGATTCAATTCAACAATCCCTCAAGAGCGTTTCGCTTATAGTAAGTACAATAATATATTTTTTTTTTCACCTCGCGCGTCTTACGAAAACTTGTCTAGTCGCGACGGTAACATTGCCCTCGAACGTAATTTACACCACGGCGAAATCGATTGGGCGTCGACGTGCATCGATGGGAGGACAGGTATCGAGGGCTGTCGCCAACAAGCCCGTTTACGTCCTCGGGATTGCACGAGTCGGATTTTCCCTCGTAGATCGTTTTTCGCTCGTATACACATCGATGTGTTGCTTTTTTAAGGCGACCCGACCTTCTCATTTTTTTTCTTTTTTTTTTTTTTTGTTTGTCAATCGCCAGGTAAAAAAAGGGGTCATCCGATAGATTGATCTCGCCCGCTCGAACGTCCATATTCTTTGCCGGCTTGCCTGGCACCATAAACCATGTATACAGAGTATCGGATAGTAGCATTTAGTAGCATTACGGTAAACGAGGAACGATGTTCCCGCGAAGACTGAAATAAGTTTTTCCCGTATCAGAGAGTTTAATGGAACATTAATAAATCTTTTCTGCAGATACGAAGCTCCGACGTTAAATGTCATATCAACTCGATAAGATGATAAAAATCCATTAAGAAATGCACTTAAATTTATTTGAAAATTAAGAGAAATCGATTTTTTTTCAACCTCTCTTATCTTTAGATAAATAAACAAAATTCGTTTATAATTGAAGCAATATTTAATTGATGTCATCGTGATTACACTCGAATGTAATGATTCATTTTCGGGCCGGTCGGCGCAGTTTCGTCAATGCGTCGTCGCCGCAATCAAGTTTCGCGAAATTTAGTTACCGATGCAACATTAACGGCGCGGTCTTCCTGTCCCGTGGAAGCGAGAACAGCAGAAACACGGAAGAAAAGGCGGAATTCCGGTGCGAACTGGAATCCGGTGATAATTTGTCGCGGGGTTATCATCGTCGTCCGACGGCGCATAAAATAATAGTGCGCGTTTAATATGAAATAAATCTGGGCGCGTTCTCTCACTCATTGTCAGTGACGCAACATATCGCGGAAAGAAGAAGCGGAATAATGCCGACACGATTCAGAACCGGCGCGATCTATGTAATGCCAAAAAGGTGTTAAGAAATCTTTTCTCTTCTTTCATTCATTTTTTGAGAGCTTTATATTTTCTGTAAAAAGTATCCAACAGAATTTCCCTTTCAATTCCACTTTCATATAATTCCTAAAGTTGTTTAAATGCTTTCCGTTATACAAATGTAAATTTAATGCAAAACTTATTTTACACACAATCACTTTTTGCTATAAATAAGTTAAAAAATGAACTTTGAACAACTTCAGAAATATATGAATGCATATATCATAAATTTTATGTTTATATAGAATATTCAAGAAACTAATGCCTATAAAATGCGAAATTGAATATTATATACACACACATATTACACAAGTTTGAAAATATTACTGAAAATAGCGAAATTTATTGTATGTGTGTGTGTTGCAATTATATTTATAATTATATGTAAAAAATAAATTCGTAATATATAAATAATTTTGAATTATCTTATGTTAAATCAACAGGGAAATCTTCTCTAATTATTCGATTTAAAAAAAACGTATTCATAAATTATATTAATTAATTGAGATTAAATTATACTTTGTTGTCATCTTATTTGATTAACTTCGTGCGTTACATTTACATTCTGGTGCTGTGAAAAACAGCGATCAGAGTCACGAGGTCACACATAAGAAAATACGTATTCTTGCATCAGGTCCCAGGTGCAAAGTTCACGATAGCGTACGGTATAAATACAATGAATGTGCTAGAAGACTGTTCATAGTAAATGATAGCGTAGATCAATAGATTTTGATTGTTAAATAACTTTACGAAATAAAACATTAACAAACGATATTAGTCGAACAGTGAGATTTTGTCATAAAACAAAATCTAACAAACAAGATTATAAGCACAATTCGACAAACAAAATCGCCAATTTTCCATGGATTTTTTAAGACAAGCTCATCATGACTGGACAAACCAGATTGGTAAGATTATTTATACTATTATATTGTTTATACTATTATAATAACAGCACACACATACAAATACAATTGCTCTTTTACAAATAAGCTATTATAGTATAATTAAATTTAAAATTTAATGGTAAAATTAATAAATATTTTCAAATTTCAAGGAAAAAAGTTTGCAAAAAAAATTCGTAAAAAAACTTTGTTAAAAAAACTAACTATTAAACATATTAAAATCTAAATGGCATTTTATTATTTAATTCTTCAATTTTGTAATATTTTCAAAGCAAATAACTGATAATGATGCGATATAATATGATAATAGCGAATGAAATAGACATTTTTAGTTGAAGCTACGTAATACATCAACGTTATATAATCTATAATAATGTATAAATATTAATTTAATAAATAATTTTGGGAATATGAGTTCACTCGTGCAAAACCCAGATATAACCGTAATATATTAATTATGCTTTACATATGTTGAAGTACGAATTTAAATGCTTATCAAGTTGTATAGTTTTTTGACCTGATCGTTTCTTATAATTCAATCAATTAATTTAATTTTCAGATCCACGAGGAGATAATTTGCCTTTAGTCAAGTCTTCCTATCAGGTGCCACTTTTAATAGTCGCGTATCTCTATTTAGTATTTATTTATGGGCCTCGATTTATGAAGAACAGGCAGCCATATTCATTAAAAACATTTATAAAATGGTACAATATCATCCAAATTGTAGGAAACGCTTGGTTGGTTTACGATCACATCGATGCCGGTTTATTTTCAAACTCAAAATTAATATGCCCTGTCATTCTTGACTACTCCTACAATGATACTCCAATGAGGGTAATAAGTTACATATAAAGAAAGAGATGTATGTCATTGACAGATATATATTTACAAGTCTAATCCGAAAAGAAATTCAGTATGCATTTCTTTTTACTATTTTCAGAACGATTTTATGTTGATTCTCATTGAGAAACAATAACCTTCAGTGATTAAATTTTTAACGAAGTTGTATTTGAAAAATAATAATGCGAGAAATATAAGTAGAAAAATAAAATAAGTTTTTATATCTAGTTAATGATGTACACTTTCATATATCAAAATATATTTATTTTAATAATCGAATAAATATGTATAATGTTATAATTACATTATTTATTCACTACACATACATATTCGTTCCGTAAAATAAAAATGCAAATTATTTAATAATATGTATAAATATTATATTGCAGTTAGTTAAGTGCGCATGGTATTTTTTTCTGTTAAAAATATTGGACTACGTCGAAACGGTCGTATTCATATTACGGAAAAAAAATAATCAAGTGTCTGGTTTGCATGTATATCATCATATAACTACCTTGCTTTTCGCATGGGCAGCCGTAAGATATTATGCTGTTGCCCCCATACTATTGAACAGCTTAGTTAACAGTGGCATACATGTGATAATGTACACCTACTACTTCCTAGCAGCGTGGGGACCGGAAGTTCAAAAAACTATAGCACCTATGAAGAAATGGATAACTATAGCACAAATGGTAAATACTCCCAATTTTTTCTGCACATACTTTACGTATTTCGAGTTTGTCATTTATATTCTTTTCAAATTATTCTTATTTACGTTATATGTTTAATTAATATTGCCTTTAAACCTCAACAATATTCCGTATATATTTGCAATTATATATATGTAAATATAATATTAATGTAGTATATAAAATATGTAATTTTATATTACAACTTTTAAATATTCCTCACGTTTAATTTATCAAAAATCCAAGTTAGTGATATTTGAAATGTTTTCTTTTATATCGTAGGTGCAATTCGTTGTATTGATCACGTATCTGTTGCAAAACGTTTTGCCAGGTTGCAAAGTCGAATCGCATTGGAAGGTCTTCTTGTTCATCGGAAATTTAATGATAAATTTCTATCTATTTTATGATTTCTATCAAAAGACATACAACAAACCTAAGAGAAAGACGTAATGGATTGTTATGCAAAATCGTCGTTTGTTGATTCTATATAATCGAATGTTGTATTATAAACTTATCGGAATAAAAAAATATTTTATTTTTTTTCGTATAATCGAATTCTACACTAGTTTTTTTATATTTCTAAATATATATAATATATAAATTTAGGAAAAATTTTGTAATTAATAATCGATAAACGTTTTTCGCATAAATGCTACTAGTTATAATTATTATCTCTTATAACATTATTTATATTATTTTAGATATTTTCTATGTATTGTGTAAAAATTTATTTCTCTAATTATACATATAAAAATAAATTTGAGTAAATATTACTGTTTTGTTCAATAAATCTATAATGTCACGAATCTGTTTTATATTATCTGGTATCTGTTACAATTTGTAATCCGCAAATTTAGACAGTTTTAGAGTTATATCAACACAGCAAACCCTCTTCCTGCAAACGTGACATATGTCACGTTACACATACTTGACAGTTAATGTCAAACTTAGTAAATTGGCAGAATGCCATCTTAGGTTTATGAGTAAAATATTCGTCAGTATAATTTCACTAAAAATACATATTGATAAAACAGTTTTCAAGTTAAAAAATTTTCAATTTACTTTAACTTAAAATGGTCTAGCATGCAAAGTTATAGATATGTATGTATAACTTTCTGCATATTTCTGATAAGAATAAAAATGCTATTCCAAAATTGTACTTTTCAACTGAATTTCTCGGTGATAAGTTGATATTTTTTCTGAACAAATAGATAAAAAAGTAGCAGATATTTTATAATTTTACATTACAGATTATTATATAACGCAATTGGAAGTTAATATTATAAAGAAAGAGCCGTAAAAAAGTTAAAAATAAAGCTTCTATAGAAAGGATTTCGTCGACATATGAAAATACTCGACTTAATATAAGGCTTAAAATAGTTTCTAGAAGATAAGTTTTGTACTACCTTATAATGCTTAAAAAAGACAAATAAATAGACTTTGTAGTAATAACAAATTAATTAGTTGCTTAAATAATTAATTAATAATTAATGAATTATTAATTATTTATACATAATTAGTCAAACAACTAATTGTGTACCTACATATAAATTTACATAGTTCATGTAATGTTAAAAAATATATAGTTTATATATAAGTGAAGTAAAATTGAGCATGATAACAATAATGCATTATTTAATTTGTTTGTTTTATCGATTATATATATTATATTTCAAACAAACTTTTAGATATATGTTCAAATTAACGCTGAAAACCGACTTCACTTGACTTTGCAAAATTATGCAGTTGTGTTATATATCCGTCTCTCACTTATGCATTCCTCAACATTTATACAATTTATTATAGATTTTACAACGCAAATATATTTCTCCATTAAATTGATAAATTTTAATCAGCCCTTACTGATCATTACTACAACTTATTAATGTATAATTTTTGGATCATAGTAAATTCTATTTAATAAATTTTTAAAATGTAATAGCTTCGCACTCGGCTTTTACGTCTCAGGGACTGCTATATCATTTCTACACATTATACTTCGCTGTGTCTATTGTTTTCGCCAGCCAACGGCGCGACAGTCAACGTGTTGTCTGACAGCGACGATAATGTGACGGCGCGTTTCCATAAGTTGTCATAGTTTAGTTTCCAGCACAGAAACGAGGAAACTGAAACCCCTTTTCTCCGCCGCGTAAACCGATTAATAAAACTGAGCTGATGTTTACGTAATGAATGGTCGAGCACGTGTTTTGATTCATTTGCAATCGGACACGTTGTTTAACAGCGTGACAGTAACATGACAGTTTCATAGCGAAATTCTAATTATTCAAAAGTATTGGAACATATATGCTTTCAACTAATCTCGAACGGCACGTAACATGACAATTTTACACACGACGTGTTCATTTCAGATAACACGCTATTTATTTTATTATTCGTAAGAAAAATGTGTCATTTACACTTAATTCGATATTTAAAAAAACTATTTGGGTCGCAATAAATACCTAAGATGCTTTGCTCAAGCGACAAGAATAATTAAGTCGTTTCTTGTATAACGCAAGATTACGACGATGATAATATTCGTTATTATAAAGTCTCTTGTATTCTCATTATATAGTTTTTCACGAGGAGAAAAAGACACGCCTTTTTGTATCTGGCATAGCGGAAACTTCATTCTCCTTTAACCCTCTCTTTAGTTGTCAAAAGAAATTGTAACGTTGAACCTTGCCGTCAATTGCAGAATATTCCGTTAAGGGAAGATCAATATCCCAAGTTACGCAATACTGACAAAGCGGATCCGACCTAAGTAAATATTGCCATAGATTTCTCTCTTCTCTTTCTCTCTCTCTCTCTCTCTCATCCACATAAATACATTATTATTATCTTATAAATAATGTTACGATATGAAATTTTGCTTCTAATTGATTAGATTCGCGTGAAATAAATTTTCCGTTTAATTCAACGAAGTATGTAAAAGTTATTAAATTGAAAGATTCGGAAAGATTTGTGTTGCGCGATATGGTATACCACAAATATGATAAAAAGTGAGAAGTTTTAATCATGAACAGCAGTGCACGTGCATTGCGGAATTTTCAGAAGAGAGATACTAGAATACGGATAATCACGTGCCGTCGCATCTTGATGCTCTACTTTGTTCCTGGCGCAGTCTGCATGCGCAAAGTTGAACGTATCATCGGAGATCCACCGATAGATCACGTCCATGAGACAAGAAACGATTGGTATTGAGGACAGTGAGGAAGAGAAGCGTGGACAAGAGAAAGAAAAAATCAAAAGGAGATCGAAGAGATTTATCTCCTCGTCGAAAGGTTTGGATAGATTCATGAACCCTTATCGATTGTTCGATTAAAAAGAAACGATATAAAATATAAACCGCGTGTGATCTATTTGAGAAATAAGACTATTGAATAAAATTTTGTCTATTTTTCCTTCACGTTGTATAATATTATTAATATTGAAATATCAATTAAAATTTCTATTCGCTCGTGTATTGTATAAAACAACAAATGTATTCAAAAAAGGCCAACTTATCGAACATTATTTAAGATGTTGTATCCAATTAAAATTTATTTCATAAACAATATATTAAAATTACAAAAAACCTTACATATAAACGTTTCAACCGCACGCGGTCTTCCTCAGTATAACAGTGTTACGTAATTTATAATTTTTACAAAAAATCATCCTAACGGACTATTAGTAAATTTTAAGAATAGGATGATTTTTTGTAAGAATTATAAATTACGTAACACTGTTATACTGAGGAAGACCGCGTGCGGTTGAAACGTTTATATGGAAGGTTTTTTGTAATTTTAATATATTGTTTATGAAATAAATTTTAATTGGATACAACATCTTAAATATTGCTCGATAAGTTGGCCTTTTTTGAATACATTATTAATATTGTTAATTTACAAGAGAAGATGGTAATTACGGTTAATTACGTTGTCAAAAATATGTGCAACTATGTATATTTTATACATAGTGAACGGACGACATAAATCGATGTTTTCTCAATCTAATTCCCATTCTTGCATTCTTTCGAATATTTCATCTCAATATTAAATCAGCCTATACCCGCGCGGCTGCTTCTGCTCGATTCTTTTCGTTTTTCGCAGCATTATGTCGACATTCCGCATGGAAAGATAGGACGGAGGGCCACTCAAAATACATGCATCGCATTACACGAAACAATATTTTAAAGTTTGCCGCCTTGGTCCTTAGACCAGCCTAAAATATAACTCGCAACTTGCAATTTCGAACTTTCGCGAAACAATAGGAACGACGAAGAGTACTTGCAACAAAAAGTATTCGAACACGATGAGACAAAAGTCCAAAACATTTTCGATGCCGAAAAATCCGATAAGTACACAATACTTAGGAAGCCATTGTAGACATAAAACTCTCTCGCTCTAGAGGAATGTAATGATCTCTTATAGAAAGAAGTAAACCTTATGGAAAAATAATATGACAAAAATAAAAACTTGAAAAATGTAAGGTGTACTAGACGAACGAACAAACGAAGAAAATAGCTATATTTTTTTAACTATACTTTTTAGACGCAACGTGTATATCTGTTTATATCCAGTGCATTCTGTATTAAATCATTTAAAAATATTATAGTAAATAAAAAATAAAAAAAAATAATTTTAACAAAAATTGTAATTTTTTACGATCAAAAGTTTCTAATTTGTTTAAATAAGAAGAATAGAAAGAACATCAGATGAGAAAGAGGAAAGAAAAATATGCGGGAAGTTTATATGCTTGTGTAAGCGACGGTGAAACGGAATTCGACGCGAAAGACCACATGCAATCTCACGGTTGATTACGCAAGTTTTACAAGTTCGATATCACAAGACTGGCAATATCGCGAAAGTAGAATCCGCCAATAGTGGTTCTCGTCTTCGTCATCGATGTCTTTGCCATAAAAGAGAGAAAAAAAATAAAATTTATAATCAGTAATAATAATAAGAAATTATCGTTTTCATTAGAAAAATGTATCGATAAAACTGAGCTACTAGACAATTTCGAATTTCCCAGGACATTTTGCAAGATTTAGTTCAGAATTATTTCCATCTCACCCTCGCTCTCTATTTGATTGAAAATCTAATTTTTGGATATGTCGACCGACAAAAATTTTCGATATCCTTATTAATCTCGCACCCTTATCACGAAAAATCAGATTTGGATGAATTACGTAATTAAGTGCTAATATTTCTTACTAATTTATTGTTCGAAACGCGAATTTATCGTAATTTTCAAAATTTATTTGCAGTACCTTCAGTGATTAATTAGCAACAAATTCTGATATATTTATTTTAGTTTACGATTCGCTATAAATATTTTTCGAAAGTGAAAATGTTAGCGTAATGATTCTTATCAAATCAACTCATTTTAGATAGAAACAATAAATAAGAACAATATATATTCTCAAATTATATAATAAATTAGTAACAAACTACAAAAATGCTTAATTACGCAAAATATCCAAACTTAATTTTTGGTAATAAATGTCAAATTAATAGGAATATTTCTACTAAAAGTTGTATGAGAAGTATTATTGCGGAGCCATATA